TTTGCCAGGTGCCAGTGCGCGGTTCTGCCATTTCTTCCTGACTGGCATTCATATTCAGAGCCAACACATCGAGCAGGAAAAGTGAGGTTTTGGTACTGTTAATGTCGAAACTGACACCCAGTGTCCTCTACCTCAAATTTTTTCCCATTCCCCAAATAAGTACATGTTTTGTTCATCAGTGATAAGTTTTCAACTGCATATGATACCCTATGAGAAGGGGTCTGACTTCCAAAATAAAAGAACTGATTTGTAGGCATTTAAAGAATAACTGGGATTCATCCCCGACTCCTAAAACTTACCACTGGGAAATAATGTGAGGGTCACTTTGGCAAAATCCTGGAAAAGTCTAAATGGAGGACATGGCCCTAATGTCCTTTTCAATTTCTTTTTAAAAGTACTGAGAATTAATACATTTACTTTTAGAAAGGCAGGAAGGGAGAGAGGAAAAGCGGGAATATTGATCGATGTCCTAGTGCACTCCCTCTACTGGGGATCAAGCCTGCAATCCTGGCATGTGCCCTGAACAGGAATCAAACTGGCAACCTTATGCTGCCCAGAAGACACCAAATAAACTGAGCCACACTGGGCAGGGCCCTAATGTCCTTTGAAGTAACATTTTAGTTGATTATTTTTTTTTTTTTATCCTCACCTGAGGACATTTTTCCATTTTCTGTACAGATAGAGTGGGAGGGAGAGAGAGAGAGAAACATCGACGTGAAAGGGACACATCGAGTGGCTGCCACCCGCACGACCAACCAGGGCCGGGGACAAACTGCAACCGAAGTACGTGCCCTTAGCGGGAACCGAACCCGGGTCTCTCTGGACCGAAAGCCGACGCTCTAACCGCTGAGCCAAACCGGCCAGGGCAACATTTTAGTTGATTTAAATGGCTCCCATGAAGTTGCTCCTATGGAAAGGATGTATTTTTGACCAGAAACCGTATTTGTTGCTCCTCTTACAAGGCCTTAGAAGCACAAGGACCCTAAAATATATTTGGAGATAAACATGTCTTGATTAAAAAGTGTGGGTGTAGCTAATGGAGAAGATCTTTGGTGCCACACAAAGTGCTATTTTTAAAATATACTGTTGTACTGTTTGGAGGTCTAGGAACTTGTTTTTGAAAAATCACTGTGACCGGGTAGAACTGACAAAAATTATTGGAAGTAGAAATATTTATTATTGGAAAGTACTAAGCCTCAGTGGATTGAGTATTGTCCCATGGACTGATTGGTCCTGGTTGGATTGCTGGTCAGGGCACAGGCCAGGGTTGCAGGCTCCATGCCTAGTAGGGGGCTTGCAGGAGGCGGCCCATCCCCGTTTCTCTCTCACATTGATGTTTCTATCTCTCTCTGTTTTCCTTTTAAAAAAATAAATCAATCAATAAAAACATTTATTTATTTATATCCTCACTCCAGTATATTTTTCCACGTTTTTTCCGAGAGAATGGGAGGGAGAGAGACAGAAACACCGACACGAGAGGGAGAGGGACACAACCGAGTGGTTGCCTCCCGCACGACCCAACAGGACCCCATCAGGCCGGAATGGCCACAAGCTGTGTGTCCCTGACCGGAAGGGGACGCGGGACTCCCTGATTCGCAGGCCAGTGCTCTCACCGCTGAGCCCTACCGGCCAAAGCAAGGAAGATGTATTTAAGAGAGAGCCTAGGACCAGCCTTCCAGTTCGCTCCTCCCCCCTCCCCGGGCTCCTCCCACACCAGCCTCTAGGCTCCTCCCACTGCCCGCGTGCGCTCCGCCTTGTTTCCGGGCTCACAGATTGGAGGCAATGCGCTTGCGCGGTTTCTTACATTCCCGGAAGCGAGTAGCGAGCCCTGAGGTCTCACGGGTCTTGTAGTTTGTGTCGTTCTGGTTCCAACCCGGTCCCCGTAGTTCTGGTGGCTGCACCAAGAAGTTTGGGGTCCCCGCGGGCTCTGAGGATCTCGGTGCTGCGTGTCCAACAGCCTTTGGTGCGGCAGGTGAGTGCGCCCTGGTGTCCGTGCCGCCGGGTGCAGGGACCCCGCGCGCTTGGGGGAAACTGAGGCCCTGCCGCCGGGTGCAGGGACCCCGCGCGCTTCGGGGAAACTGAGGCCCGGCCGCCGGGTGCAGGGACCCCGCGCGCTTCGGGGAAACTGAGGTCCGGCCGCCGGGTGCAGGGACCCCGCGCGTTTGGAGGAAACTGAGGCCCTGCCGCCGGGTGCAGGGACCCCGCGCGCTTGGAGGAAACTGAGGCCCTGCCGCCGGAGCCGTGGCCGCTCTCTAGGCTGTGGGACGCCGCCTGCCGCGTGGCTGTCGTCCTGGAAACCGGCCCCTCGGCCGCCCTCCCAGCCCGCGGCGATTCCCGCCTCGGGAGACGACTCGAGGGCAGTCCAGCCGTCTGCGCGGAAGAGGGGACCCGGTCTGGGTGACTGCGGAGCTCATCGGGTGTGGGCCTGAGGTGGGATATATCGGCTTGAGGCTTTATGTATTTAATTTAACATGAGCTGAGTCGTTTTAGGTAAAGGGATTTGAATGAGAATTACAGATCTCTGCTTCCAAGGCTTGTGAATTTCACAGTTAATTGGCTTTTATTGCAAACAGATGCCCAGAGCGGAGAGAGCTGTCCGTTGGTCGTGGGACCCTTTTCATTTATTTCCTGGGATCGCAAGAAGTAAGTGAATTGAGCCCTGGCCAGTTTGCCTCAGCGGTTAGAGCGTTGGCCTGCGGTCCGGAGAGACCCGGGTTCGGTTCCCGCTAAGGGCACGTACTTCGGTTGCAGTGGCAGCCACTCGATGTGTCTCTTCACGTCGATGTTTCTCTCTCTCTCCCTTTCTCTCTCTCCCTCCCACTCTGTCTGTACAAAAAATGGAAAAATATCCTCGGGTAAGGATTAAAAAAAAAAAAAAGAAGTAAGTGAATCGAAAGTAAGGGACAAGAAATGACTAGGTCTGTCAGCACATGATGCTATTTCAAGGAATACTAGGAGCGTTGGGGCTTCTTTTGTTTTTTGTTTTTCCATCTCCCAAGAAGTTGTTGTGTTGTTTTCCCGCTGGGACAGTTAATTCATGACAAAATATTTTTTTTCTTTGTTGATTTTAGAGAGCAAAGTAGAAGGAGAGACAGCCAGAAACATCGATGAGAGAGAACATGGATTGGTCGCGTCCTCTACGTCTCCAGTGGGGATCGGTCCCACACCTGGGCATATATCCTGACTGAGAATCGAACTTGCGACCTCATTGGTGCCTGGGTTGATGCTCAACCATTGAGCTACGGTGTCCAGACCATGATGATTTTTTTAAAATATGTGTGTTTTTATTGATTGTTTTAGAGAGAGGAAGGAAGAGAAAGAGAAACCTCGATGACAAACATTACATGGCTGCCTTCTGCACACTCGCCACTGGGCATCGAGCCCACAACTCAGGCATGTGTCCAAAACAAGAATTGAAATGGGACCTCTCATTCCATGGGACAATGCTCCGTCCACAGAGACACACCAGCCTAGCTTCGTTTTAAGTAGGTTGTGTCTGTCAGGCCAGTGTGGCTCAGTGCTTGTGTGTCGCCCCATGCACCGAGAGGTTGCTGCTGGATTCCAGGTCAGGAGACAGGCCCAGCTTTGGGCCCAATCCCCAATCGGGGACATGCAGGAGGCGGCTAATCGAATTTCTCTCTCATCAATGTTTTTCTCACTCCCTCTTACTTCCTCTCTCTCTCTAAAATGAACAAAGGGCAAAAAAATTATACATGTATTGTGTCTATTTTACATTCTCAGCCCTGTGTCCTTTCCACATATGTTGAAATATCTGTTGGTACTTAGTGAATAACATTAGGCTATTTCCGTGTCCATGTGGTAAGGATGTAAATGATGTTAAGAGTCAGAATCTAGTTCCATGAGTTGGTCTAATATTCAGCAGCATTTTCCTTTCATTTATGTGATTTGTTGAATTAGTAACTGTTGGCCACAGACGACCTGTTCCCCTCAACTCCTTCTTGCCATTCTGTGAAAATACCGAAGGATGGAGTGGATTCACCTGGCACTTCATTCCCATAGAACCCATCTATTCATGGTGAAGTTATTTGAAAACCATGTTAAAATAGCTATCTTTTTGTTGTTGTAAGTGCCCCTAGCAGAAACCGAACCCAGGACTCTCTGGTCCTCAGGACGATGCTCCCACACTGAGCCAAACCATCCAGGGCTAAATACCTATCTTTTTAAAAAGGTTTCAGTGTGAAGATCTGTATTATTTGTAATTGCTGGAAGTTCCTGCTTTTACCCCTCATTCTACCCAGAGGTCTGAGGTCTGCTGGGTCTGATGACTGTGCCCAGTGCTACTGATCACAGCTCTGGGGGAGGTGCACAGGCACCAAGAGAGAACTAGATATCGATGCTATAGCATGGGTCCCACTGCACACCTGCAGATCCATAACCAAGATTGGCACCCACATCCCTAAGGGATCTGCAGGCTTTTAAAGCAGAACTGTTCTTATTTGGGTTCCTCTCAGATCCCTGGAGGGTTTTTTTTTCTTCCTTTTTTTGGCACGTGCCCCCAGCAGGAACCGAACCCGGGACTCTCTGGTCCGCAGGCTGATGATCCAACTGCTGAGCCAACGGCCATGGCCCTGAAGGAGTTTTATGAAATGACCTCCACTGTGCTCTCTCCTAGAGTTGGAGGACTGCTCTGGGTCAGGCATCTTTGTTTACTGAGGTGCTACAAGTGAGTCTAAGGAAACCCAGGAATTGGCAGGAGGGCCCCAGGAGCATTTGTGAGTGGGGCGCAGGCTTTAGTCAGGGATGTGACAGGGTGGTCTGTTGGGGTCAGAGATCCCAGACACCATCCCACGTTCCCCTGGCTGTAGGGACGTGTGCAGGTCTGTGGGAGGGGAGTGCACATGAAGACAATAAAACGATCCTCACAGTGTGGTCTCCCTGCAGGAGCTCATTGTTCCTGACTCTCCTGTGATAAAGGACAGTTCCAGGTCCTTCTGACTGTGAGTGTGCGGGGAGCTGATTAAGGGGCTGTGCGCACACATGTGAAGGCACATTCTGTGACTCCAACATAACGTCACCTGAGAAAACAACCCTGAGCAGGACCAGGACCAGGACAAAATGGCTGCTTCTCAGGTAAAACACGTGTCGTGGGTCAGAGGCTGTGTCTGCTGTTCCTCTCACGTGGGTGGATTTCGAAGCTGCAACCTTTATTTCTCTACTTCTGATGTTCTTCCTAGTGAGGTTGTTTTCCTATACTAACTTTTATTTTCTTATTTACAAAAAATGTTTTCATTGATGTTTTAGAGAGACAGCAAGGGAGAGAGAGATAGAAGCATGGTGTGGGAAAGGAACATTATTGGCCCCCTGAGTAAGCCCCCTACTGGGGATCAAGTCCACAACCTTGGCATGTGCCCTGGCCAGGAATTGAACTGGTGACCGTTTGGTACATGAGTTGACGCTAGCCAGTCTCCCACCCCGGCCAAGCTACCCTGTGTTTTTTTATGTACTGTTTAGAAGAATGGCACGTGGCCTGGAAACATAGGCATCATTAGTAAAAACCGCTTCTAACACTGTTTCCATGTTGGGTGACCTTAGGAACTCTCTGGTCGCCCCTTGGTCAATGTGTCTTTCCTTTCAGGGACCGTTGTCCTTCAGGGATGTGGCTGTAGACTTCTCTCAGGAGGAGTGGGAATGCCTGGACCCCGCTCAGCGGACATTGTACCTGGATGTGATGTTGGAGAACTACAGGAACCTGGTCTCCCTGGGTGAGGATGACTTCCTTCCAGAGCTCCTACTCCAGCCGCTGGAGTTTCCTTTATTTTTTTAACATCTTTTGGGGCTTCTGCTTTGTATGATGGGCTGTCAGAGTCTTGCTCTCAGAAAACACATTGCTGGTTTGCTGGTGTAGAAAGGCTTTGTGATGCATGTGAATTACAAACTTGGTGTTTGATGTTTCCACGTTGTCTAGAATAATTGAAATGCTATCCGAAAACAGTATTTTGGAAAATCTTTTTGTGGAATATTCTACTATTCAGCCATGTCTTCTGACCTGAGCATGACCTGGATTAGATATGGGATCATGTCTGTCAATGTTCAATGTTCCATTTTCTTTCTCTTTGTTTTACTGTTTTTTCTTTATTGATTTTAGAGAGAGGAAGGGAGAGGGAGAGAGAGACACAAACATCATGAGAGAGAACATCGAATTGGCTTCCCCTTCATTCCCCCAACTGGGGATTTGGCCCACAATCTGGACATGTCCCCTTTTCCGAAATCGAACCCGGGACACTTTGGTCTATGGGTTGGCGCTCTAACCACTGAGCCAATCTGGCCAGAGCCTCACTTTAGGTCCTTTCTGTTGTTTATCTTATGACATAGATTTAAGATTTTATTGTTTTTTATTTTAAAGGTCTACAGGAGAAATCAAAGTGATTTTTGTTTCATTATTAGGCCATTGGGAATTTTTATATTTGTGTATATATTTATATGTGCAAGAAAGCTTTTTTTTATCTTTTATCTTCACCCGAGGACATTTTTCCATTTTTCGTTCAGATACAGTGGGAGGGGGGGAGAGAGAGAGAGAGAAACATTGATGTGAAAGGGAAACATCGAGTGGCTGTCACCCACACCACCCAACCGAGGCTGGGAACAAACTGTAACCGAGGTACATGCCCTTAGCGGGAACCGAACCCTGGTCTCTCTGGACTGAAGGTCGATGCTGTAACCGCTGAACCAAACTGGCCAGGGCAACAAGAAATCTTGACATTTTCATATCCTTTGGTGTTGTTTAGATTTTTTTGGTTTTTTTTTCCAAATCTTTATTGTTGGATGTAAAATGTATTACAGATGTTCCACATTTTTCCCCCATTGACCCCCTCCTCCCCACTCCCGCCCCCCTCCCACCTTTTCCCACAGTATTGTCTGTGTCCATTTGGTTATGCATGTAAGTTCTTTGGTTTATTTCTTCCCACCCCCCCCCAACCCCTTTCCCTTTGAGGTTTGTCAGTCTAGCAATGAATTTGTGCTTCTTAATCCCTTCACCTTTTTCACCCATTCCCCCAATCCCCCTCCCAACTGGCAACGAACAAAAGGTTCTCTGTATCTGTGAGAATGTTTCTGATCTACCTGTTCATTTTGTTTGTAGATTCCATTGTTGACAGATACGTATTCATTGACATTTTGTTTGTTCATACATTTTATCTTTTTCTTCAAAAAGACCCTTCATCATTTCATATAATAACGGTTTGGTAGTGATGAACTCCTTTAACTTTTTCTTGTCTGGGAAAGTTTTTATATGTCCATCAATTCTAAATGACAGCTTTGCAGGATAGAGTAATCTTGGTTGTAGGTTCTTGGTTTTCATCACTCTGAATATTTCTTGCCACTCCCTTCTGGCCTGCAAATTTCTTTTGAGAAATCAGCTGACAGCCTTATGGGAACTCCCTTGTAGGTAACTAGCTGCCTTTCTTTTGCTGCTTTTAAGATTCTCTCTTTGTCTTGAACGTTTTGCATTTTGATGATGACGTGTCTTGGTGTGGGCCTCTTGGGGTTCATCTTGTTGGGGACTCTGTGCTTCCTGGACTTGTATGTCTGTTTCCTTCACCAAGTTAGGAAAGTTTTCTGCCATTATTGTTTCAAACAGGTTTTCGATTTCTTGTTCTCTCTCTTCTCCTTCGGGCACCCCCAAGATGCGAATGTTGGCACGCTTGAAGTTGTCCCAGAGGCTCCTTACACTATCCTCATTTTTTTGGATTCTTTTTTCTTTTTGCTGTTCTGATTGGGCATTTTTTGCTTCCTTATATTCCAAATCGATGGTTTGCTCCTTGGATTTACGTACTCTATTATTGAAGCTGTGTAAATTATTCTTTTTTTTTTTTTTTAATTTTTATTTATTTATTTATTTATTTTTTATCCTCATCCGAGGACATTTTGCCATTTTTGGTACAGACAGAGTGGGAGGGAGAGAGAGAGGGAAACATCGATGTGAAAGGGACACATCGAGTGGCTGCCACCCGCACGACCAACCAGGGCCGGGGACAAACTACAACCGAGGTACATGCCCTTAGCGGGAACCGAACCCGGGTCTCTCCGGACCGCAGGCGGACACTCTAACCGCTGAGCCAAACCGGCCAGGGCTGTAAATTATTCTTTATTTCAGTTAATGCCTCCTTCAATTCTAACTGTGTATCCATGATTTCTAACTGGTCCTTTTTTATGCTCTTGAGGCCCTCCCTACGTTCACTGAGGTTCTCACTAAGTTCATTGAGCATCCTTATAAGCAGTATTTTGAACTCAGTATCTGTTAGGTTGCTTATCTCCATTTCGCTTAGTTCTTTTCTTGGGGTTTTGCTCTGTTCTTTCATTTGGGACCTGTTTCTTTGTCTCCTCATTTTGGCTGCCTCCCTGTGTTTGTTTCAGTGTATTACTTAACGAGAGGTATGGGGCTGGCTGAGACCAGATGCTGCTCGTTTGAAAGAATTTAGGAAAAACCTGAAGCAGGATCCAAGACAGGCCAATCCTATGGTTAAGCAAGTGGCAACAGCTTGGGTGGGCTTGACAGTTGGGTGGGGCGGGCGGAGCCTCAGGGAGTCAGCAGGGCGGGGCTACCAGTGTGAGCCAGGTTGCTAGAGTCCCAGATATGGAGACTGTCTGCTGCCCCCGGGAAGGGCTCACCAAAGGAACAAAGGCCTCTGACAGCACGTTTGTCCCCGAGAAAGCCCCCTCTCCAGCCCTCACTCCAGTGCCGCACAGCTCAGTTCTTCCCTGTATGTCTCTGGTGCCCCTCGAGCTGCCTCCCCTCCAAGCTTAGAGGGAGAGAGTCCGATAGTCCGTGCGCGGGCCCTTTAAGGAGCTGCCTGGGGCTCCAGCCGCTTCAGCCTCCCTGAGCCTCAGTTCCTGCTGGTTTTTCCAGCCAGAACTTATGGGGATTCTCTTCCTGGCACTGGAACCCTGAGTGGGGTGCCTGGTGTGGGACGGGGACCCCTCAGTCCTCAGGAAGGACCTTCCCAGCCGAGGTGTCCTCCTGATTTTTATCCGCCACACGTGGGTGTGGGACCAGCCCGTCTCGGTGTGGCTGCTTCTTTAACTCCATAGTTGTAGGACTTCCATTCAGCTTGATTTCAGGCGGTTCTGAATGATGGTTGTTCTGTAGTTTAGTTGTAACTTTGATGTGGTTGTGGGAGGACGGGATACCGCGTTTACCTACACCGTCATCTTGACAGTCATTCTGTTTAGAATTTTTAAAGCTCATCTAGAAGTATTTTCTTACTCGTTTTTCATTGTGCGAGTTTACTGGTGAGAACATTGTGTTTTTGACTTGGAAGAATCTTTCTCTTTTGTTGATGATTTGTCAGAGAAAGTATTCTTGATTGATAGATTTTGGTGTTTTATCAGTTCAGTATTTTATTTCATGCATTTTTAAAAATTTGTTTTCTGCCGAGAAGCCCAGTGATCATCCTAGAGGAGCTGTCTTTTCCTTGACGAGTTTTTTTTGTTGTTCTTGTTCTTTTTACTCTTTTAGGGTATTTATTATGTGGGATTCATTATGTTTTGATTCTAATATGTCCTTCTGTTGGTATTTTTACGTTCCTTCTACTTAGAATTCAGTCATCTGCTTGAATATTTATGTGTCTTTCTTTCTCTAAATGTTGGAATCCTGAGCTTATTTTTTAAAATTGAAATGTTTCTATCAAATCAATTTGAGTGACATTGTTTTCTAGGAGTGAGTATATGGGTTTCAGGTGTGGATTTCTATGTGTATATTATAGTGTGTGCCCACCACCCAAATTAGATCATTTTCTGTCACCATATTAGGCCCCTTCACCCCCTGACCTCATCGTCCTGTGGCAACCACCACACCGCTCTTGTGTCCATGAGTTTCAGTTTTATACCCCACATATGAGTGAAAGTATGTAGTTTCAAGCTTTTTCTGCCTGACTAATTCCACGTAGCACAATATTCTCAAGGTCCATCATGGTGTTGCAAATGTCAGTATTTTGTCTTTTCTTATGGCTCAGTAGGTAATATTCCATTGTGTGTATGCACCACATCTTTTTGTTTTTTTTTTTTGTTTTTTTTTTTTTTAATCCTCATCCGAGGACATTTTTCCATTTTTTACTCAGGTAGAGTGGGAAGGA